AATCCACGTGGAAATCAGAATGTTATTGGGTCTAAAGATACCGGAGATCTCTATTAAGACATTGTGCTTGTATGAAGCTTTTAGTATTAGGAATATTTGTACTAGTTCTTTATTTTGGCATTTTCAGTGGCATAGGGATTCCAGGTCTATTGTAAGTACAGGATCTCAATAATGATTCTTTCCCAGTTACGGTATCCAAATCTGTGACACTTCTCACAGTTTAGAAATTTCTGTTCCTGCCGTGTGTTCTCGTGGGCTTGTGTAGTATTATTAACTGTAGTAGCAGCAAGTTTAAATTTACGAAAAATAYTGTATTTCCCTTATTGATGGAAGTGAAATGCTGCAATTCATGTACTGAATGTGGTGCATCCTCTTAACCCTGGGCAACTGAACCCTGCCCAAATCTGAGCACTGCTCACGCTGAGCTTTGTGCTGGGCTCTTCCTGATGTTTGTGACAGTGCGGAGTGCTGAGCAAATTGTGCCATTGCAGCTCTGAGATCTTAATCTCCCTTTAAACAAGGAGCCAGTGTAAAGCAATTTAGTGTCTAAACAGAGGAGTGAGTGCCTATCAGCATCTAACAAAGCCTCAAAGAGCAGAGGAAAGCACAGTGCTGTTAAAATGAGAGAAAGAGAGGACAAGGAGCTGACATGTTGCCAAGACAAGAACTTCTTGTTCCCTGTTTGTAATTTGCATGTGTGTCTCCCTCTTTACAACCCCTCAGTAAGTAAATCTTCTACTGTGAGCTGATCATGCAATAGACATTCAAGTCAAGGTTTTAAAATGTCATTGGGGGTTTTGCATGTCATCTTCTTGGTAGCTAAATTTGAGATTTTCTGCCTTGCTTTACATGTGGTTGTGCACCCCTGCCACAACAGACCTCATCAGCAGATGGGCTATCAGCAATCCGGACCTCCAAAGTTGCTGGCTAAGTTAGGAGCCCCTGACTGCTGCCTAATTATGCCCTGCTTTCCGGCTTCCATTGGGTCGTTTTTGTCTCTTTTTAAAGAGCAGATTGAGTGCTTTACTCGCTTTCTTGTCTGTCTCGTCTATTGATCTCACTGCATCTTAATCACAAGTTGGTCAAACCTAGTGATGGCTTCTCTTGAGTCACAGCTGGGTTGCAGAGGTTGCCTGTGGCTACCCTAGGTCTTTGGGAGAGCTAGGAATAAACTCAAACGTCCAAACTACCTTTACCCACCCTACTCCTGCAAAACAAACAAACAAACGACTGAAAAAACCCTCTAAAACTCTAGCTAGAGGCAAAGTCAGTTGGAATTACTTGGGTTGGATTTCCAGCGCTGCCACAAGGAGTGAATGCAGAAGCCGTGGAGCGGGCCACAATGAGGAGCAGCGTCGCAGCGAAAGGCCGGCGTCTGACATTTCCCCTGCTCTGTGTTTCTCCCAGACCACTGACATTTGCAGTTACTTACAAAGTGAAGAAAGCCTAGGTACTTGAATGGTGCCTGTATAGAAGTTTTCCAAGCCTTATCTTTTAACAAAAGCTTTCATTACCTGAAATTGGAGYTCCAGATATTTATCGTTGATTCTAAACAGTAAAACAGCTTAAATGCGTCCGATGGCCTCGGCAGCACGGGGAGCAGGAGCCCTTTCTGCAGCCCTCCCTGGCCTTTGAGCATACGCAGTTTTATGGAGTTTTAAGGTCATCGACCAGTGTGAAAAAAGCAGTTCATAGATTGTGGTCCTGAATGTCAGACTTGTTCTTTGACTAACGCACACATCAATTATATGAACTGGGGATGATAGAGAAGACAGGTTTGCAGTAAAAGGGTATTTCAGAATTTCTGCAGTAAAAGGATCAGATGCATAAAACTGTGACCACTGCAAATGGGAGCTTGTAGGCTGCTGTTATAAGATGGGGAATACATTGCTAACATGTAGTTTYCTGTAGGTTTTCGTTCTGTGTTTCCAAATTAGCCTCTCAAGACTCTCCTTCCTGTTTATGAAAAGGTTATATACATCAYGAAGCTTAGGCACTTGTGCCGGTAGGGTCAGCTTTTTGAGGAAAATGCAGCAACCAGACACATGTYGGGTAGTGCATTACACTGCATAGGGTTAATCCTAGTGCCTCATAGATACCTACCGAAACAAGGAGTTCGGAAATTGTGCTTGTAATTAGTGACATTGCTGTAGACAGGCTGCATATCTTTCCAAACATCTTAATCATCAGTTTGAGTCTTGTTAAGTTGTGGCCTCTGTGACTTCCTCCCCGGCAATGAGCCCCACCAGCTAATCACACCCGCTATGCAACGYGTGCTCTTATCCACTTTGAATTCCCAACGTTTTGTTGCAGTGAATTTGCCCTTGTTTTTGTGCTTTAAAGAAACTCCGTGTTCCTGCAGGTGTACCTTTTTCTCATTCATTAATTTAGRTATTTTGTTGTGTTCCCGAACAGTCTGAAGGGATGATGCTCTGTCTCTGCTAGAGAGGAATGGGAGAGATGTTCCTACTTACACTAAATCCATGAACGTCTGTTGGGATTTACAAGAAATTTTGGCAGCAATAAGATATAGGACATTATTTCACTTCAAGATATGTCTGTTTACTGTAACGTTGCTTCAGTTATTGTTTAACAAAGTACTGATTGTGATAAGTCGATCTGCTTGTCCCAACTAAAATACGAAATTTGTTCAAAATGACTGGTAATATTTTCCCCTGTGAGTCTTTGTCTGATGCAGCATAACTGAACTCTGTGTGATCTGGGCTAAATAAGGCTCAGTCTATGTCTGGGCCTAAAACTTACTGTCTAGTTGCTACCAAGGGTATCCCTGTGTGTGAACAGGGAATATGCCATTCCAGAGCAGCCATGGAAATACTGCTGTTTTATTCTTATCATTGGACTGCAGGTCTCAGTTTAACGAAATCTGGATTCTAAAAAGAGCTGAGAAAATAATTTTGTTAGCAATCGCTTGACCAAATTGCCTTCCTGGGCTCGCAGAGTCCATGAGAAAACACTGTAGTTCCTTCGGATACATTTGCTATTTGGATTTCTTTGACAGAGTTGCTTTTCCAGATTAGTTTTAACTTCACGATTTGGTCTCAAGCATTCACTACAGGCATTTGACACTTGACAYGGCCTACGAGCAATTAGTCAAAGAGTCCTTCTGTTCTCTGCCTCCATGAGAAAGTACGTCCGACGGGTGAGCATGAGAAAGAAGACATCGCTTCTGCAATTATTCTCTCRCACAACTTTTCTAATTGATTTTTTTCTTAAATGATTGTAAATCCATCTGATTTTAAGCCAGAAGGGAATATTAGGTTCTCTTTTTCCCCGTGCTGAAACAATAAATTGTGGTTAACAAAAAATGTGCCTTTTGGAAAGGAATCCWTCTCAATGTGAAGAAATGGAGAACCCATTGCTCCCTTTGGTAGTTTGTTCCACTGGTTAATCAACCTCACAGCTAAGCGTCTTCCATATTTTTAATTTGAGTTTGTGTGGTCTTAAGTTCCAGCCAACCTTTCTAATAATAGTAGAAGTCAATTTTCTATATGTTAAGAGAAGGGAATGCAGAAAGGCTGAAAGTACAGCTCAGGTCATTCTGTGGTCTAACTGAATATGCACTGTTATTTGTTTTTGCAGTATTAGCTGAGTTCTGCTTATAAGAATACTTGCTGCAAGGTTTCGCATACTCTAAAATCACTAGATGTGGTGCCAATGTAGAAAATTAATGGAAAATGAGCAAGAAAACGTGACTGTTGATATTTTGTGGCAAGGGAAACATCTATACTGGTTGAAATGCACTTCTCCCACTTGTATTCTTTCCCTGCCTTCTTTGTATTCCCTGTGCTGGGTGACTTGTTTTGCCATGAAGCAGTGGGACAGGACTGGAATAGTGGAAACTGGAATATTGAAAGATTTGGGGGCCTTTTTGAGAGGAAGGCTCCTGTAATGTACTTAGCACATGGKCAGCACATCTGGGGTAGGGGTAGCGTGGGAATGGGAGCCCTCCTGCAGCACCCAAAGGGACAGGAAGGTGCCAGTAAGACTGGTTTGCTGCTATGGGAAGTGACTCAGCCTGGAATGGGGGCAGAAAAGTTTGTGTGCCACGGAAYGCAGCTCCAGCTACATTTGGGAGGGAAGGGACAAGGCAGTTGGTAAAAAGGAGATTTTGCTTTAAAAGTTACAGAATTCTTGGAAGTTTCTGCTGTGCTGATATCTAGGGAACTAGGAGAACACAGAGGGATGGAAGCTTGTCTCCTGTTTTTGGCATATTTTGGATGCTGGAAGATGTAACTGTACATGTGCCCCTGTGAGGGCCATGCAAGGTGCATGGGAAGCTCCCTGCGTTGCCCCTGCTTTGCATGGGCAGATGTCTCCTCGTCCTCCCCGGCTTTCTCTGGCCAGGAGCCTTCTGGCCGGAGGGTAGGCAGATGGTTTCCTTGAAGGCTCAGTGGCTCCTCGAACAGCAGTCAGTGAACATAGGTGGCCGTTGGCCAGTAATCTCCCACCCACGGTCGAAACTCTTAATTCCCAGTCCAAAAGAAAGTTCATTCAAAGCAACCTCATAAAAGGATAAAGGCTTAAAAAATAYGAGGCCTTTATGATTGTTCCAGTGAATCTAGCACTCAAGGCTCCAGCTCAGTTAAATTCCCCCAAAGAAAATTCCTGTCACATAGGAATCCAAGAAAGAATAATAGAGATCAGAGTTCACCACTTCATATCCAGCTCCAGAAATGAACTTGCTACGTTACAGGAATTTGAGCCGGACTGTCACACTGGAGCCAGTGATGTGCTTAACAGATGCCGTCTTAGGTTCAGATGAAGTGCTGCAAAAGCGTGTGGTGCCAGAGGAAGGATTACAAAGTCACTAGGCTCTTAAAAGGAGCAGTAATTACTTGTAAGCCCCAGCTTTTGTTCTTGGMTAATAGTAACTTTGTTTTCTGCCTCTGTCTTTTGCAGTCTGTGCTCCCTCTCCGGGCAAGTTGGGCTCCTGCTTGATAATTCGGAAGGGCAAAGCACTTGCTGCCTGTCTGCGAGTCCAGCTGGTTGTCATGAGGGTCAGTTTGCAATAAAGAAATGGTGTTTCAGCATTTCCTTTCCTACTCTCATCTGTATTCTAGATTTGTGTCTTAGCTTTGAAAAGCCCTTGTGAAATGTGAGTTCTACTGACGTGAACCCAGCTGCAAGGTTGACAAGCTCTGTCTGAGGAACCGGGCTCTGAGAAGCACCCGGGGTCTCCTTGGGATTTTTTACACCCTTTAGCAAACTGTTTTCACCTCCTTGGTGGGCACAAGTGTTGTTAGTATAAATATATTCATAGCACCACAGGAACACAGTTCCCTTTTCCTGGTATGGTTGTGCCCATATCAGAGGCTGAACTGGCAGTGAAATCTTGTCCCTCCAGGTGACACTGTTATAGGGACACAACACTAAGATTTCTGCCTTGCTTTAACATAAAACTCTAGAAATGTGTTTCAGTGATTGATGAGGAAAGTTTAAAAGTGAGAAGCCCATGCCAGAACACCTGGACACCACAGACAGGCAGATTTTCTTTTTCCTTCTTTAGTAGGTGATCATTTTATTTTTCAGCTAGACGAAGAAACCTTATGTTTAATGCTTATTTAATATATTAAGTTATGGTATAGAATGCAGGAAGGCCTCAATATCTTGTTAAATAGATTCTTCAATAAATTAAAGAWCTTGGTAGCAGAGCTGATTAGCAAGCATACTAACAAGTTCTCTGGAGACACTGGTAATTAATTATACCAGGACATGGAGGTTATTGGGTAGAGATGAGTATAAAACAGATCCCTTGAATGATGGCCTGTAAAAATGCATCTGCATGTGATTGTTTTTCTAAAATAGTGGCCATTTTTAACTATTTATTTAATTTTTAAGGCCATTTACTCATAAAACTGGCAGTTAAAAATGGCCACTATTCTCTCAAGTATAGCCATCAGTATAGAATTACAGCTTTGCATTATGTAAGGTACAAGAACAGGCAGAAATCTTTAGACCACTGTTTTTTTGTTTTTTTTTTTTGTTATTGTTCTTTTTGCTTTCAGTACAGCTAAATAGATTCTGCAGTTTGCATTTGGTTTATTTAAGTAGAAGTTGCATGGCTATTTTTCTTAATATTGGGCCAAGTCCTCTGTGTGATTGATTTGGAATAAATGTGGTGCCTGCAAAAATGAGAGTAGAGTCTGTCTGAGGCCAATGTGTTTGTAGCCAAAGTCCTGAGAGTTGGAGAAAAACAGCTGTTAGGTTTTTGGTSTAGCTCCTGATCAGCAACCCTTTGAAATCTTAGCAGTTTCTGCAGCCTCACCTATTCCCACTCCTTGCCTTTCTGTTGAGGGCAGTGGTGTCTCCTTAATCCCTTAGTTGCTAAGATGTTGCTTCCAGAGCATCCCTAATCATGGAGATGCTTCAGCAAGGTGTAGATCTGTGCTCAAATTAATTAATCTCACGTGCAAGGAAGTGCTGTTGCGCTTTCTTAAATTAGAGCCTGTTGTCCAGMAGAGCTCTTGTCCTCTTGCCAACAAAAGGCTGCCTAAGAAGTCCTGATGCTTTCTCCAGTTAAATTGGGTCTGGGCTGATTGCTAGGACTGGTAGGAAATGAGCCGTTTCTTAATGAATGGTCGTATCTGTCATGTAGATGACTGTGCCCTTTACAAAGGGAGTGAGGATGTTGACCAAATCTCAGCAGACTCATCCATTGCAGGTGAATGAATGTAGAGAGAAAGTGAGACCAAATTGTTGCCGTCTCAAACACGACTAGGTGGTGGTTGTGCTCCTGGAGCAGGTAGGCTCTGCAGCTTCCTTGGAAGGCCCATCATGGTTCAGCGTGTCTTCTTTGCGCCTTTTATTCCAGCATTACATCGCTTCGGGATGCAAGCTGAAAAAAATGAAACTTTGATTCAGCTAAGGGAAAATCTGTGCAGTAGGTGTCATCTGTAGGTTCCTTTCCAGCAGAGCTAAAATGTATGCCAAGATCTGGAGACCTACGGAGTTGTACCAGTACATTAAACTGATGTTTTAAACATGACTCTGCTTGACAGAAAGGCTCTCGTGCTGGTACTTCATGACATGTAGGAATTTTCATTGACAGGCCTATTGCCTTTCTCTTTTTTCTTTTTGCTTTCTAATCTTCAGTTTGCTTGCTTTTTATCTAGTAATGGCAGTTCACACATTTATGRGGAAAACTAAATCTGATGCTGGTGCATAAATTAAATATGAGTGAACTTCATAAAATTTATGGCTGCCGTTCTTTGTGAGCTCTGATTTTCTCTACCTTTGTTTCTCTCCTATTTCTCGGCCTAACACCTGCCTTCCAGGCTCCTTGCTCTTGCAGGGCTGAGAGATGCCAACACAACCACAACGCGCTCGCGCTACAGAGCCGTGGTCGAGCTGTCTGCCTGCCAGCAGCAGCAATTGTAGTGACAGATACTGATTATTTATTACTTGCAAACATTTAATTAAATTTGCCTGCATAATTAACGTGCTAGCAGCCAGACGTGCTAGCAAGACAGTGAATCTATTATTTGGAAAAACCCTCGAGCAGCAGATCTTTGTGAGGAGGTTGGAAGCAGAGTGTTTTTGTAGGGCTCTTTGGTGGTCGATGTTGCTGAGTGCTCCAGCAGAATCCGCACTTTATATGTTGTCCTTGCCATTGCTCTGTTATTTAAAGAGGTACAGCTATACAGAACCCTGAATTTTTTAGCTGCAAAAGGCAGCCTAGCATTAGGTGCATCATCATTCACCTACCTCTGCACCTATGATTTATCTCGTCAGGACAGGTTAGTAAGAGTCATGGTATGATGCAGTCTACGCATTGCCCTTCTAGACTGTCCGAGGCTTTTGCCTGCCCAAACAGATAATAAATTTCCCCTTTCAACATCTTGTTTGTCTGCATTATATCTGTTATTAATMTTTATAACAAGCTAACTGCATTTTAGTCCAAAGGAAATTGATATTCAGCTGAAACTTAAACCCAGCCACTATATTGCATGTGTGTTTTAGGTAAGCACCTGTGTTATGTAARCACCTTCCAGCCTGTGTGATGTGTATCCATGTTCAAAAAACTTAACGAGCTGASTTACTGTCACTATTGAGCTATAAAAAGGTGCAGACCATAGATAGTGTCAGGGATGGGCAGATTCGTATTGGAGGAAGCAACTTTGGTCTTTGGCAAGTGAGCAGAAAGGAACTTGGATGAGCAGCCACCCACGGGTTGGTGCTCAACAGACCTCACCAATGCCTTACACGTGCTCTAACTGCATGGAAAGGCAGGAGGGAAGTTTTGAAATAGGTGRAAATCTAATAGTGGGGTGATATGGCCAGGAAAAGGATGGGGAAGTGAACTGGTGGCTTTAAGGCCTCGTTATGTATCATGGCATTGCTTGGGAGGGGCTTTCTTTGGAGCTGCTGATTTGGCCGATGCCTAGCAGAGAAATCGGTGTGTGCCAACTTGCACGTGTGTCTGAAGTGTCGTTAGGGAGGAGGGATGTGGAATGAAGTGTGCAGTTCAGCTAGGCTCTATAAAACATCGAAACAACTGTTAATTCTGAGATGTGCTCTGACTTCTCCTTTAGGGAAACAAAACCAACCAACCAACCACACAAGAAGGTTATCCCAAACTTATGTGGGGCAAGATTGTTACGTTCAGCTGAAGAGTGCATGACATCCCGGGCTTTCAGTCTGGCAAGGATGTTATATATAGCGCTGGGCAAAAGACTCAAGTCCCCTGCTTTGGTTGTTGATTTGTTGGGGGAAATGATGGGTGTAACGAGCATGGCTGAGTGGATGTGCAACTCTAAATAAYGAGTAGCTGCTTGGGCCACAAAGACCCCTTTCTGTGTACAAGCTATGGGTCTGTATGTGCCCTTATGACAGATGCCTTCCTAGATATATGCAAGGTGGCACCAATATCTGYGTAAAGCTTTCATTCCTAGTACATTACACAGAAGAATTTTAGTTGCAGTTAAGCATTTACATGGTAAATATTTTTGCATTAAATTGTACTAGTCCCTAACTTATTGAGTAATGTTAAAGTTGCGGTAAATGTTCTTTTGAACACAGAAGCAGTTCTCGTCTAACCCACATAACCTTTTCTTTTATTAGTGACAGAGAGTCGAGGGGTCTTGGACCATATTCAGAGATTTTCTTCACTACCAACATACCTACCTGTGAGCTATCGGATCTTCAGTGCTGAGACATCCTTCTTTCTCAAAGAAGCCAACCAGGACTTCATGCGAAATTCCAGTTTACAGTCCAGGGTGGAATCGTTCTTCCCATTTAAAGCCAAGAGACCACCTATATTAAATGCCAGTTATGGACCTTTTTCTGTTGAACAAGTTGTGCCCCAGGAGCTAATGTCCATGTCCAACTTCTTTGGGCCTACCAACAAGTTTACTTATAACTGGAAACTGAAGGCCTACATAATGAGTGACAAGATCTACCCGAGCAAGCCCAAAGTGCAGATCCTCTTCTACATCGTGGGCAGGGACTGGGATGACTACAGCACCACGGAGCGGCTGCCCTGCCTGCGGGTCTTCGCCTTCCGAGAGACGCGGGAGGTCCGGGGCAGCTGCAGGCTCAAAGGAGACCTGGGCTTGTGCGTGGCCGAGCTGGAGCTGCTGCCCGCCTGGTTTAGCCCCCCCACGGTTGTTGCTGGACGGAAGAAGCTAGCGGATCAGTCGGAAGGGAGCCCTGTGGAGCTGTACTACACCATCCAGCCGGGAGATGAGAAGGGGGAATGCACCACTGAGGATTTAAGGAAGGGCAATGCTATCCGGCCAGGAAAAGATGGCATGGATGAAACCATGTCTCACTTGCAAAGAATTGGATCCATCAGCCTCTATCGAGGTCAGGAGACTTCTCAGCTTGTGGAACTGCGACTGGATAGTAATATTGTTGTGTGGTTGCCCTCCAAGCCTGTCAAGCAAGGAGAGGTTGTGAATGTTTATGTGACAATTGCCAACAACTCTACAGTGGATCAGTTCATACTCAGGTATGATGGGTTCTTTTTGATCTCTTCCTAATGTAGCACACGTATGCTGTGGGCAGGTGATGGATCTTGGAGTTCTTCCATGCGTAAAGATGATCCTAGGTATTGAAATCCATTTTTCCCCATTCTTGGATACTGTGAAAAGGGCTGAAAGGCTCCGTCACTAGGAGTCTTTTAAAATATTCAACCATTTAACACATGCTGACATTCTACAGCAACATACAAAACACAGCAATCCACTGCCTTAGTGGGGCCATTTGTATGGGGCAACAGACAGTAAAGCTCTTTGCTTTACAGACCTTTTAAAATCATCTTTTTAATGCAGAGGCCCAGAGTTTAAACATAGCAAAACTTCAATTACCTGCTTTTCTCTTAAGTGCTCTGGCAGCGCTTTGCCTCTCGCGCGCGGAGCCTTTTCGTTATGAGAACCCGTTGCGGGGAGGGAGGGATAACTATCTGCTTGTGTTTAAGTTGCATTTTTCTTCTTGGCAACACATGCCCATGAAAATAAGGCCTAATGTGTTTGATATTGCCATTGATTGTAAGGGACTGTTAGAGGTAAGTGCTGTTATTTTGGGAGGGAGCATCAAAAGGGAACCTGGGAACAAGGACTGCCTTGCTGGGTCAGCTCAGTTTCCTTTCATTTTCTACTTCAGCAGTTTCCCTACCAATCAGATGAAAATCCTTTGAGGATGACAAAGCCTGGAAAACTTGTTAATCACTGAGATATTTGATGTATCGTTTTTTTTTTTCCTCCGTTACCAGGCTTTAAATTCAAGGAAAATTTCCACGGTGATAAGCAACAATTGCTCTTTAAAGCCCCAGGGAACCAGAGTTTCCCAAGAGATTCTGCACATGAAAGTATTTATTTCTAAGACTCATATGAATTAGATTAATACACAGTTGACAACTACCGAGGAGAATAGCCTTTAGAACAGGAAGTGTCGCTCGGCAGATAAAAGGCTTTTATTTTAAAAAAGGGGGATTTTAGTCATCCCAGAATCATTCTGATGTTTGCAGCTTTGGTTAAGTTGGTGAGATAATCTGCCAGACACCTGTTTACTGAGTGAAACCTCCGATAAAGAAGAGTCTTTTCTGACTGTGTTGCTTATCTTTTATTGAAAATCCTTTCTCGGAAAACAGCAGCGACTGAATACTTTTCCGCATAACAGGCGTAGCTGTGGTGAAAGAAAATATCTGAAGGCAATGAGCTGGGGTGCTTGTTGGGTGGATGGGAGAGGGGATCGCCCTTTGAAGATGTGTGTGTCACCATCTTTTATCTTCCTACAAAGTGAGCTGGAGACAAACCAGTTTGTAGAAATTGAATGTATGTGTTTGCKCAGAAATGAACCTGACCACGTGGGCGAGGAGATCACGGCGGGGTGGGACAGCAGGAGCTGCCTGTGTGACCTGCTGCTATGGACGAGCTGGATTGGCTTTGGTTTTGAGAACAGGTGATCCTGAAGTGAATAATCTGACAAGTTGATTTTTTGACTCTTTCATGTTATTGTAGATGCTGAGCTTAGGCGATGTTCCCATACTGAGGTGTCCTTTTGCCAAAAAAAAAAAAAAAGAAAAAAAAAGAAGCAACAGACAAAAATTACTTTTTTGACGTGAGGACAAGAGACTAAGAGGCCAAGGTTCAAGAGCAGAAGGCTTTTGCCTGCTTGCAGCTGAGGTGGGAAGGTGGTGGTTGCCTCAAGACACTGTAGCACAGACCGGCCTTCTGAGAGTGAGCGCGGTTCAGTGCGTGGCTGTCGTCTTCTCTGCCACCAAGGAGGAGGGAAGCGGCGGGAGAAACTCCAAAGCAATCATCAGTTTAGAAGACTTTGTCTTGCAAGCATCTTAGGCCCTACCAAAGGTGCTGATGTGTGCAGTTCTTACTCAGGCATCAGGCAGATGCTTTGGTGTGGTGAGGTGCAGGACCGAAAGTGACCGTGAGAGCAGCTAAGGTGGCTCTGTCCCTACGGGCATTTAACCATGGCCCATTCTGCCACCTGCTGATGTTTCTTCTGTGTTTTTTTTTTATATATTGCTTTTTTTGCTGAATGAGAGCTGAGGAAAGACTGGCAAAGTCAGTGTCACTCAACTCCCTGTTTTGCAATAGAAATCTGTTGTCTTCAATGAAACCTTCGTGGTGTAAATGAGGGTGGAGTTTGACCCAGGAATCTATGAAGTGCCTATACAGAAGAAGTAAATAACTAAAAAGCAAAAACAGCAGCCAGAAAGTGGCAGTGCATATGCTGTGCCTGCCTGGGGGCTGCTTTAACCTTCTCCGTGGCCATTTGCCTGGTTATGTAGAGGGCTGTATGCTCTAATATTCATGAGTTCCTGGCAGAGCAGCCCCTACATCCTGTGACATGCGTTCACATTTAATCATCCTAAAGAAAAACACCCCACACATTATCCTCGGGCGTAGTGGGTTTGTTTATTTTCTGCTGCTTGTATATTATTCATTGAAATATTGCAACATACAGTGCTGAAGCAAACAGCATGTGATCAGTGCTTGGAGGGGGAAGGAATAATAGCCACAAATCTTCTCTGGCAAAAGTAGACTGGTCTAAATGACCTCATATCCACAAATCATTGGAAATGAAACTGTGTTCTTAAATTGTATCTTAATTCAGAATCCCATTACTATATCCATAAATTTATCAGCCCAAGAACACCAGTAAAGTCAAAGGGAATGACTTAATAGGGCAGGAAGTAGGGCGAGTTCTACATGGAAGAGCATTAACGCAGCGGGAGAAACATCTGAATATACAGGGAGCATCAAGGGCTCTTGTGAAGTAGTCCAAGCAATTCTGGTAGGTTGTAGGATATGTTCATGGCCCCATCCTTGGCTTACTCATTTGATCTGATCTTTGCTAAGTCTTTACAGTTGTTTTTTCTACATAAAGTAGAAAATTTGATCGTATTCCATAAAATAGGGAGGGCCTCCAGGGCCCTTAAAGGAGGGATTGGTGACAGCTCAGTCAAGAAAATTCGTTTTACCTCTAGCAGCTGAGTAAATGAAGCATCATTATTATTTCTCATTAGACAGTAAGATCCAACAAGAAACATCACAATATTTAAATTGTAGGTCGCTTATGTTTTCTGTGCTCATCCCTGAGCTGTTGCAAATTAACACTTCTGGCTTTAGCAGAACTGCAGTGGCTGATTGCCATTTCACCCGTTTTTGTAAATACAGCTTGTAAATTAAACTCCTGGGAGTTTAACTTTTTGACAGTAACACATAGCTGTGCGTGCCCGCTGTGGCTGAGCTATTTGTAGGTGGCTGGGTGGCTGGCCACTCAGTTCCTATTTGCAGAATGAGGAGCTGAACGCATTAGGCAGCTCTGAAAGGGCTGGCCTGCGTGCATAGCTGGCTTTGTTCTGCAGCTCGGCTTTTCCACCGCCTGCATTATTAAAGGATCCTTCTGTGTGTTTTTCATGGCGTGATGTACCACATTTGATCTGGCAGAGCGCTGGGGAGCGCAGGGCCAAAGCAAAAGATGGGGGAGTGCTGCGTGTTTCATGTTGCTCTGCTGGGCAGCAGCTAATCTYTCATTTACTGTAGAAGGTGCCGAACCATGAGATAACCCGCTTTATGGCAGGTATTGAGCAGGATAAGTAGAGGGAAAGGGGATGAAGTGATCATCTGTCCTGCTTAGGGGAAAGGAAGTTAAAACACTGATACTTTTTGCCCACTTGGGATTATTAATTACAGATTTTGCAGTATAGCTTTCGTTGCTCCTGAAGGGCTTGAGTTTGCAAGTGGTCTGAGTTACCTTTGCCCAGCTGGCAAATTAACCCAAGACAACAGATCATTAGAAGTGATAATAAATCTACAGGTTGGAAGGCAGATAAAGGATAAATGCAGTGAGCAAAGCTACTAAAACAATCAGCTGAGGCAGCTTTCTGTGTCAGTCCTGATGAGTATTGACAGCAGTGCTGTGTTAGGTGGTACGAAGAACAGCTGCAAACCTAGAGGAAGATTCAAAGACACTTGTTCTGGAGAAAATGATCATGGAAAGGGTGTTTTCCCATGATCCGGCACTAAATTTGCCTGCTTTGCATGAAACACCTATTGGAGCCTCTCTAGGGTGCAAAGTGCTCAGAGCAGTGGCCCATGCTGAGCCCTGCCCTGAGCTGCTGCTGCTGCTCTTGCATGCTAAAGAAACAAAAATAATGGTTGCAAGCAATTATTGCTTAATTTTAGTTACTGACAGCTTAATCTTGCAATATTTTGAAACAATCCTTAGGCTGAGATTTGTATATGCTAATTGTTTATAACTTTTATTGCTAAAATATGCTAGCATCATTGTCTGCAAATGAAGAGGACGTTGCAATAACTAACTGAAACTGAACTTTAATCACAATATTTTAGACCAAAACCAGAGCTGAGTTCACTCTACACTTTTTTTAACATGCGATTTGGGACAGATTGTCCCAGGAACTTGTTTATCACGGGAAATGCGATGTTGATTTCCAACTGTGAAATCTTTGGAGAATGTGGGCTTTTTTTAACTGCTTCATATTTTAAATCTAATACAGCTCATGGTGAGCTGAAGAAGGGCAGGATGACTTTGTGGGACACTCATTTGGGTGTACATGTGTCTTCAGATGTGAATCTCAACAAAACGCTTTTCATTTCAGTACTAAAATATTTGAAAGTGATTTCACTATTGTTAGGAGACATCTAAGCACAAAATCAGTTCATTCCACATCTGAAGAGAAAGGAATCTGAAGCCATAAGAGTTGCTCCTGTTGTCTCATTATTTCCTGTTCCATTTTCTATTGAAAAGATCTGATCTTCAAAACCCAGATCCACAGTTTTGGGTATTGGACAAACATAAAAAGTAACATGCACAGTCTCTGAATGTTAGATTTCCTTTTACCCTACCTTATACCTTCTCTGTAGACATGACTTAGGTGTTGTGAGGCCTAGGTAAGTCTACTGGCTACTTATTTTACTGCACAAAAACAAGTGCATCTTGGGCAGCCTGGGTAGAAGACTCTCA